AAAGTGTGTGCCACTACACCCAGCTATTGGTTGAGAGAAGGTCTTGCAAACTTCTTTTTTTTTTTTTTTTGCCCTGGCTAGCTTCAAATTGTGATCCTCTGGATCTCAGCCTCCCAAGTAGCTAGGATAGCAGGCTTGAGCTACTGCACCCAGAATGTTTGGATATTCTTTATGGTTGAGAAAGCTGAGAAGTAAGAAAGAAATCTATATTAGCTTTAGAGAAGAAATATAACAAGAACTTCAAAAGAATAAAAATAAAGCAATAATCATAAGTAAAAGTCAAGGTATAGTCATACCAGAAAATGTACACTAAAGATAACAAATGCTATTAAGACATCTTACATGGATGAGCTTTCTGAAAGCCAAGGCATAAAGAGAAAATGGTTGAGTTATAGCGTTACCATTATATAATACAAAGGAAGCATACAGACTTTCCAGTAATAACTAGCTTTTCCCTAGCTCTGAAGACCAACTTGAATTAATCTCTTATTATCAGTATGCAATTTTCAACAGCAGTTTTCCAAGTTGCAAATTTCTCTTTATATGTCAAGAAGTCATATGAGCTATTTATATGACCAAAATTTAAAGGGATTAAATTATATTGTTGTCATAGATTTATGAAGGCATTTATAAGAGAAGTAAAGAAGCCAAGTCTAGGACTATAGGAAGTTTACTGGTGATTTGACTTAAGTTAGTAGACATTCAAATATTTGGATTAATAGTTATCGAACTACATTTTTGGCACTGAGAAAATCTTATACAGTACAGAAATGAAGCTTTCAGAAACAACTGAGCAGTGCTGCTTAGGTTGAATCAGGTTTGAGAGACCTGCAGTTGTGCCTGCTTGCTCCCTTCATGTTTTCCACAAGAGCACTTGTGGCCTCTGAGGCACTTGTGCACCACTGCGTTCACTTGTTGATGATGGCACTTCATCAACTTTAGAATGAAAAAAAACAGTGACCTAGAAAAATAGTTGGCTAACATTTCTCTTCATGCCTCCTTCTCAAAGAGACTTTCGTCAGTTGATCTGGAGAGAAAGGATTCTAAAGTTATCATTGATATGACTGTAACTTAAGGTATGACTGCTTAAGGTATGACTGTAACTTAAGGTATGACTGTAACTGCCTATGTGTTCACTGAATAGAGAAATATACACCCTAGATATTGGATATGTGATTAGAAAGTTTGATGCAGAGTGAAAATTAAAGAGATTTCCCTATATTGCATTTTATTTTTTTGCTGTACTAGGGTTTGGACTCAGGGCCTACACTTTGATCCACTCCACCAGCCCTGTTTTGTGATGGATTTTTTGAGATAGGGTCTCGCAAACTATTTGCGTTGGCTGGCTTCAACCTCCTGATCTCTGTCTCCTGAATAGCTAAGATTACAGGCGTAAGCCACCAGCACCAGGCCCTTTTAAACACAATGAGCTCCAGGATACATCAGGCACCCTAAGTAGACTGTGCCTGTGTGCAGACATATATGACACACATACACACAAACCCATTTTAAAATTAGCCAATTGTGACCTTCCCAGATGTTTCCATGGCCATCTTATTGAAGCATGAAAATACAAATGCCAACTGTACATTGTAGGATTTTTAATGTTAATTATAGATCATATGTTTTTAAGAAATTACCGAATATAGATTATAAAAATTTATTAATAAATCTACTGAGGCTACATTTATACACTTTTTTTTTTTTTTGGTGGTACTGGGGGTTGAACTCAGGGCCTACATATTGAGCCACTCCACCAGCCCTATTTTTGTGAAGGGTTTTTTGAGGTAGGCTCTCCTAACTATTTACCCTGGCTGGCTTCAAACTGTGATCTTCCTGATCTCTGACTCCTGAGAAGCTAGGATTACAGGCGTACTCATATACACTCTTAATGGTCAAATGCAACCCAGATACCAGTGAATTAGTTCACCTGTGAGACTCCAAGTACTGAAAAGCTCTGACGCAGCTAGCAGTTAGTGACAATTCCAAAGAGGGAATAATCAACAGGTTCCTGTACTGACTTTTGAGAACAGAAATGTAGATGATTATAAAGAAATTCAATTTTGATCACTGAATTTATTCTTTGCAAACTAATGTTTCTTATGAAGCTATAGAAAAGATATAAAATAAAGCACAAGACATTATACACAGTCCAACTACCGGCAGTCTGTTGGTATGTTGTCTGTTAGTCCTATTAGTTTGGGGGCATATATCACATAATTATAATCATGCATATATGCAATTTGCATTTTTCTTTTTACTTGCCAGTTTCCTACATCTCACAAAGTTTTCTATTTTAATGGCTATATGATAGATAAATTATAACTTAGTCTCTCAATTATTAGGCATAAGTAAATATACATTGAGAGGTTATATTTTTCCCTATACTAAAACTCCTCTGGTAAGTATTCTTACACCTCTGTGCAGTTGTTTCCTTGGGCTGTATTCCCAAAATGAAATTACTGAGTCAAAGATGAGATGAAGCATTTTAAAAGCATTTTTACATAGTTTGCTTATCCTGTAGTTATTTTATTTATTTATTTAATTTTTTTTTTTGCCAATTTATACACCACTAGCAAGGCATGAGAGTTCTTTTGCCACAGAAGTTCACTGATTAGGTAATACGCTCAGTACAAGGTTATGTAAGACAGTTGCATTAAAGGGGAGGCAGATTTATTCCTTTTAAGTAACTTCTAGTAGGAGAGTAAAATATTGCCAGGCTAAGATCACAATAAAATGTCAATTATTGATATATAAATGCACTTCTTATATGCTATAAAACATTTTAAGCTGGTAAACATACTTATAGTGATCTTTTTTAGAGTTCATTTGATTTTTAATATATAAGAAAAATTAACAACTTAATATTTGGATTATCACAATTCGTAAGTTCATGTACTTTAAATATATTTGAGTATAGCCTGAAACCAGAAGTAAAATTATATTTGTTCTGCCCATCCTTAATTTCTTCAAATATTTAAGAAATTTTATTTCTAATTATTTTTGTCATACAAATTAATAGGTTAACATTGATTTCATTATATTCAAGGAAGGCTACATTCCCCGGGCAAAAGAATGGAATATGTTCATAGTTCATTTTTAAACTAATAAAGTCTTAAGGCATTAATTTAGTTCAGTTTAATATGGACAAAGTGTTATTAGTATTAAAGTTTATGACTCTGATTTGTAAGATATCATACAAAATTCAAATAGGTTTTTATTGATTGCCTAATTGAATGAGTATGGGTGCTGCCTAGTGCATCAACGCATGTTTAGAGTTACTTAAGGTTTACACGCATGATTAGAGCATGATTTAAGTCAGGAAAATTATTTAGAAAAATATTAAATTAATTCAAGTTGATGTTATTTTTTCACATTAGTCATGAGAGTGAGGTAATATGTTATATTACCTTAACACTTTCACCACCCGAGTGCAGAGACATTAAGCACTCAGTAATAAAATTGGTAGTTGTAGTAATATGTTGCCTCCAAAATTATTTTGAAGATAATTTGATGTTTGCCTTTTACTAAAAGCTAATAGAAACTCCCAGCTCTATTTTGCCTTTATGCTTTTTTGTTTTTTCATTAACTTCTGAAGTTTCTAAATTTATTGAGTAGTCATTTATGAAATAAAAATAGGCAAAACATACATTTATTTTCCAAGTTTTCTTCTTTAACAGTGTATTTTGTGCTTTAGTTTTTGCCATAGCGTGGATATTTAAAGCAAACATATTTAGAGAAAATAAAGAATGAAAAAAATCTGAAATGGTTTGAGAACAGATATTATAAGAAATAGACAAATCTCATTGAAGTGATAATCCCTACCTAAACTAGAAAAGAGTATCCTAACTTGAGCCAGTTCAGGGATCTGGGTGTGATTTATGTAGTACAGTGGACCGGCAGTGTCATACTAACGAGAGGAAAGGAGGATCCTTAGTTTCTAACTGGAAACTGTTTTATAATTCTTGGCCTACTTATCATTACAACTGGGATAATGCACCCACATAACCTTAATTGAAATGTTAAGAAATTGGCAGGTTCTCTTTGGAAATGTGTAATTCAAACAAATACTCTCCATTTGGAAAGAACCCATCATGGTGGTGTGCAACTGGGAGAAATAGTCAACAACAAGGGAAACTACTGAGAATAAGTCTGTGTATTGTGAAAGCCTTTCATAAAGTAGAACCATAAAGATGATAATCATGATTCCATATCCTCAGCTCTCTCTACTTCTTTTTTTTTTAATTTCTTTTATTCATATGTGCATACAATGTTTAGGTCATTTCTCCCCCCTTCCCCCACCCCCTCCCTTACCCCCTTGCCCCCTCCCACTGTCCTCCTACCCCCTCACTACCAGGCAGAAACTATTTTGCCCTTATCTCTAATTTTGTTGAAGAGAGAGTATAAGCAATAATAGGAAGGATCAAGGGTTTTTGCTAGTTGAGATAAGGATAGCTATATAGGGAGTTGACTTGTATTGCTTTCCTGTACATATGTGTTAACATTCTAAATTAATTCTTCTTGAACTAACCTTTTCTCTAGTTCCTGGTCCCCTTCTCCTATTGGCCTCTGTCACTTTAAAGTTTCTGCATTAGTTCCTTTGCATTGCTCTCTCTACTTCTTAAATGTGCTCCTCATCTTCACGTTTTAGAAGCAGCAGATTGCATAGAGGAACACTTCCATTTTAATTCATTGTAGAAAGAAGCATCTAGGGTGATGACTTTTGATTGCTATGATAGTACAATTATACTTAAAGCATCAGTGACAAATTTCTGATTCCCTAATGTCTTTTCCATTTTGTAGGTGAATTTACTGTAGAAAAGATTGGAATGTACCATCATGCTTTGACCCAACGAAAGCAATGTGTAATTTTATTTCTCAAGTGGACATTGTTCCTTCCTTGAATAATCATTTATTATATCATGATATGAAAACTAAGTATTTTCATGCTTTGTCATAATTGCTTCAATATTTCAATAAGGATTTCTTTCTTCCATCAGGGCCGATGCATAAACTTCTCTCGAGTTCCACATCAGTAAAAGGAAAGCAAGAAGAACAAGAAGGTACCAAGATGGCACATTTTCACAATGCTGATTTCAACCAAATGAAAAAAGTCAAGTACATTTCAGAAACTGTTTGAAGAGCATCTTAATTCTTCTCTGTCAGGACACATTTCCTCTGCCTTCTGCTTTCCTTGCACCAGACATTTTCAAACACTTGGTCTACCATCTTTATGAGAGGTGCTGAAACTCAGTGGTAGCTAACAATTCATGACATTGAAAATAAAGAGAAATGTTCATCTGCATACTACCTACAGTTTCTACAAGAAAGGTAGTTCAAATGTTTAGAAGAGGAAACAGCAGTTATGACAACCATGTAAAAGATAACAAAACTGGGACCACAAAACAACTAGCCATATTGGATTTTTAATGGAGATAGGAGTTTTTAACATGGAAACATGGCACCAATGTTTTTGTATGACAAGATCCCTCGCCATAGACTGAGTATGAAATTTCCCACCAGGCTAAGCAAATAATGGAGTCCATTATAGCTATGTCAGATCATAAAATCCTTCCAAGTCCCACATCAAAGTGTGCCTTACGGGAAGTTTCTGACTAGAAAATCTTGTCATTCTACCACTGGAAAGTGCACACGCATGACAAAATGTAGACAAGATGCCTCAAGGTATTGGTACCAGGCGAGATTTTGCCCTTTAGTTTTTGAAGACACCTTTCTTTCATTATGCACTTGGGACAAGAAAATTAATAGAGCGTTATTCCAAAGGAAGACAGCCTCTAACCAAAGATCCACAGTGGAGAACTCACGATGTAAGGCCTTATTCCTGAGACTGGTAGATTTCCCCCTTTTCCTATGTTTGTGATTTAGTAGTGCATAAAGTATTAATATCTGTAAACATACCTAGGAGTTTATTTTGCTTTTAATTTAAAGGAAGCTGTATGCACATAGCTTCCGCTCAGGGTTTTTTCTTCTTTCAAGTCTCCAAGGGCTCTTCAGCGTCACAAGCCAGCAACTCTCTTTGCATGAAAATTTCAAAGTTTAATTAATATAATTAAAGGCAACAGCAAGCAGCAGCCTGTGAAGATTTTGCTCATCTTTTTTATGCCTTTTGACATTGAATGACCTATTACTGTATGTGCATTACTTGTATTTTGAGGAGTACTGTACCTTGGTTATGATTCAGTAGAGAAAAAAAAGACCTCCTTCAGTTTATAAATTAAATTTTCAGGAGGGCCACCATCAAAAAACATTGACAATGTACGTATTATAATTTTTTCAGAAAAATCACCCTCGTGTCACGTCTACGATGCCAAATTATGTTAGCGTGAGCAGAAACACTGTGGGGGAGGAAGAAGGCAGCAGCTGAAGAAAACAGCTCAAATGATCTAGTCACTTTCGATACTGTACTTCAGATGCGAAATGGATATTCGACTCGAAACCTGACAAAGCGTGCCTGCTTTGATGTGAACTGGTATAGACAATGACCAGTGGCCGGGTCAGTGGGATGTCTCTCTGGGAGCACAAAGGCTTATCAAATGACACTAAAAATAAGTTCAACAACCATCACGTTGGAAGGGAGAAAGAGAACACTTCATGTTTGGCGGGCATGCAAGTGCACAAGATGGAAAGAGCAAGTTGGAGCATCCTGGTATAATTACCCCCATTGTGCTTTAAGTGGAAATTTCAAACGACGGGGGTGATGCTGTTGGTTGGTGTCCAGGTTTATGGTACTGCTCCAAGAAGCCTTACGCACAAAAATAAATATATACACCCACTCATATACATATATTCTTTAGCTTGAATCTTTTGCTCAAGTTTATTTATGTCACTGGCTGGCTGGATCCAAAGTCATGTGTCCACATACTCATAAATAAAAATTTTACCTGTGCCTTTGTTATTTTCTTTAAGCCCTCATAAACCTCATACCTTCTTTGGTCAGTATACAGTTGTCCTGGTTATTTTCAAGGATAAAATTCTAATCAGTTCCAAAATACCCAGCATGTTTGCATATGATACTATTGGAAGAAATCTATGTGTGCAAGTACAACATGGAAGCCAGATAGAGTACACCTGACCCTTTCTTCAATGAGTTCTTGTAGACATCTGTTCTGTATTTGCATCTGGAGTAAGATCTATTGCTACTTTCTTAAATGGGTACTTCATTTCTGATCAATGCACACCCATTGATGATATTTTAAGAGAATCAAGGATGCCATAGAAGCTATGACTATGTTTATTTGATAGTTACTTTAAATTTCTCCAGAGTCATATACCACATTTGTATTTTGCTACATGAGCAATATAAATAAAAGCTCTGCCTTTAAATGGCCAAATAGCTTTCCAGAGATTTGTAATGCAAATACTATGAAGAGCTCTCAATGAAGAGGGATGGGCATTTGTTTATATGTAGACTGAAAAAAAAACCACCATTAATAAAGTTCAAAGACAGATGGAATTTCATTGCCCTTGAAAATATGAACCAGATCTATGCTATGCTTTTGACTGATGAGTCTAACCAGCAAATGAGAAGAATTTATTTTAGTGTCATTTCCTAACCAGAGGACATGATCAAAACTGTCTGTATCTTTCAACCAGGAAAACAGTTTGGAATAAAGCCTTTTAATAAACTTCATGGCATCTTATATATAAATGAGAAAAATAGCTCCTATGTAATTTTCTGGACATGATATTAATCAAGATCTCTCTCTGTGTAAATGAATAAGTCTTATCCATCACCCATTTGTGTTGCATAAGGTTGAAAAAACAATTAAGTGGGAAATGACTCCTAACTTATGTGTCTGCTCTGCCTAGAAAGAAATTTTTGAAGGCATCTATATATATTTCATAACAATGTCTGTTCTTTATGGATTTGATCCATAAATATTTATCTATCTGAAAACTTTGATACTTGGAATGTTTTCCTTAAAGCATTTGGTACTCCAAGAAAAAACATTTGGTGCTATTCCTTTCCCCAAGTTAATTCTATTTTAAAATTTTATATTTTCTTCCCAATGAGATGCAGAGTAAAATTTGAGAGTCTCCATTGACTAGGGAGCAGCATCTGTCATCTATGGTTAATTGCTATTTTGACAAAAATATATAAGGTTTAAAATCCCCTATATTTCAAATTGTTAGAGAAAGAGCCATTTGCTTATAGTTCCCTTGATCTTTATTCTAAACATTTAAAAATAAATTATTCTGTATTTGTTTTGTTAAAATAAATCCTTACTGGATATAAAATGTCAGTGTCTCTGTGAACTTAACTTTATAATCTTAGTATCACTGATCATTGTTTATGACTCAGAGGTATATTTTTTTGCTTATTTTAGAATTGAAACAAAATCAATATTATGGCTCACAAAGTGTTTAAAACATTTTGATTGATCAGCTTACATATGTTATTTTTGAAATTTAAGAAGGCAAAATATAATTAGGTTATAAATACAAGGATTAGAGAACATCATAATGCCTTCCCCCACATGCAAATATATTTTAGTTCATTTTTACTAGATTTTGTTCAGCATCACATTACTTTATGAAATTTTGTTACTACTGGAAAATTTCAATATATTAACATAGCTATTAATGTGAAAGGAAATATAACATTTAGATACATAGAGTAATTCTAATATATCTTACATAGTTAACAGGCAGGTGAGGCTTGAGAACATTGTCTATTTGTAGTGTCATTGAGCTATATTCTTATCTCAGAGCTAGATTTATATTGTGATTTGTGAAGTTCTATGGCATATTTCTAAGAATAGTTTAATTTTAGTATATTTCTATGCTTTCTAGGATGTAATTCAGTCAATTGGATGAAAGAAACACATTATTTTTTGAAAATATAATGTACCATGTCCAGTGGTGTTTTTTTTAATGCACTTTATTTTGTGGAGATGTTCTTGTTCAGATTGCTTTACAATGAGTCAGCTTAGGAGTCAGAGGATGGAGGTCCTACACCATAGACCTAGCCGCCAACTAGTTTGCTCACATTAAACAGATTTCTCAATCATGCACTGGGGATGGACTGAAGATGTCAAAGTTCCTTTCACCTCTGACAACATTTCTATTAATATGATCATATCAGAAGTTTTAGTGTTCATGTTTCTCAAATTTTGAATGACTAACTTCTTTATTTGTAAAGCTTGGTAATATCTCTGTAAACTGCCATTAGCTACAAAAAAGACATTGAACTATAATATATGACTTGATAATTAGCCATAATGGAGTAATTTGTTAGCTGTTTTCTGGGGAGTAGAATTAGTCAGAGACAACTGGTAATATAATTTATAGCTGATAAAATCTCTCAAAAGATGTATAAAATATTGGTAAACACATCTGTATATTTTATACAGATTTTATAGTCTCACCAAATGTACCAAAGGCACATATAAAGAGGTAAGAAATATTATGAGGTATTTATGCTACCAGTTTTAATGATTGGATACTTTGTATACTATAGACATATAAATTATTAAGCTGTCTTTTCCTTAGTCTAAATTGAAAAAAATCCATTTAATTAACAATAACTCTACTTATGTTTCCCTTAGCAAATATTCAGTGGAAAATAGTTTATTTAGTAATTTGACACAACTTAGGATCTGTAGTACATTGGAATTGCTAATCGTTTGCAAAACTACCATAGTCTTAATGAACAAGGATACTGTGAAAGTACTTCAAACTTTTAAAACAGTAGTTCCTAACATTATTTCCTTTATTACTGTAAAGTTATTCGTATCTCAGGTAAACTACATTTGCAAGAATGCAGATGCTAATGGTAATCCAAAGTCAATTGTAAAATTAATAAAATGTACATTTAAGCAGATTCAATTTGACTAGACTACCTCAAATATTAGAATTTCTAACCTTTCAAAAAGCAACCATGGTCTTAATGTAGAAGGATACTGTGACAGAACATATTTCTAGAGTGTCAAGTATTGAAAAAATAATGTATTGCCTTCACAAACTAAATAAAAGTCAAGGTGACTTTAAACAGTTTAGATGCAAAACAAAGGGACTAAGTGCTTCCAAAGTCAAAGGGGATAACAAAAAAAGGAAATTGTTATATCACATGCTAAAACCCAGAAGCAAATATCAACCTATTGGCGTGCTGTGTACTCCACTATCTGATTTGTAAAAGTAATTAGGGAAAGAGAAACTTACAAAATAAAGTGAAATCAACTAGTTCCACCAGATGACACCTGTAAATAGAATTTTTGCCAGTTGAAATTCTGACACAAAATGAAATGATTATCATTATCACACCAAAGTTTTTAGTTCTTTTTTTAACATTCGCTATTTCTAAAAGTCTCTGTTAATTAAACAGAGCAATGACAGACCTTCATTTTCTTTAAATACTTTGTGTAAGGCTGTCACAGAAAAAGAAAGATTATATTTTAAACAATATGTTCAAGTGTAAAAATTTTCAACAAATTCTTAGTGTTTTTAAAAATGGAGGGAATTTTCAGGGCTTTTATAATGAACATCCTGGGATTATTCATAAGTATCTGGATATTTCAGAAAGTTTTAAAAGACTTTAAATTTTAAAAAAGTCAGATATTAAATTGTGATCCATAATCTTCAGTGTACTTTTTCAAGTTCTGAAGACTATTGCTATGATTATAACATTGTAGTACAACACTTAAAAAAGATTCTGATAGCATAAATGGTGTTCAGTGCCTCAGTATACCTATCACCAGAAAGCACTGAAGTGATAAAGTTAAATCAATGATTGTAAAATTTTATTTCAAAATGATAGGCCAGTTCATGAGTGATTTAAAAATTATAACATTTTTTGAGCTAGTAGAGTTAAAAATAGTATATTCCTCAACTTATTACATGGTGGGTATCACTTTGCATTAAAATGTTTTCCTCATCTTCTATAGTCTGTCAGATAAATCTTAACTGTAGGTTATTACTCCATGTGTGTTTATAATCTCTAACTTTGGAAACAGTATCAAATTGAGAAGAAAGAGTTTATACTAGTTTCCTACTACCACTACAAATTACTACAAATTTAATGATTTAAAATAATACAAGTTTTACAATAATAGAATAATACAAAACAATACAAGTTTATTCTCTTACACTTGTGGAGGTCAGAAGTCCAAAGTCAGTTTCTTTTTTTTTTTTTTGCAATTTTTTTTTCTTTTATTATTCATATGTGCATACAAGGCTTGGGTCATTTCTCCCCCCTGCCCCCACCCCCTCCCTTACCACCCACTCTGCCCCCTCCCTCTCCCTCCCACCCCCTCAATACCCAGCAGAAACTATTTTGCCCTTATTTCTAATTTTGTTGTAGAGAGCGTATAAGCAATAATAGGAAGGAACAAGGGTTTTTGTTGGTTGGATAAGGATAGCTATACAGGGAGTTGACTCACATTAATTTCCTGTGCGTGGGTGTTACCTTCTAGGTTAATTCTTTTTGATCTCACCTTTTCTCTAGATCAAGGGCAAACACAACAATGGGATTGCACTATGAGCACATGATAAAAGCGAGAGCACACAAGGGAGGGGTGAGGATAGGTAAGACACCTAAAAAATTAGCTAGCATTTGTTGCCCTTAATGCAGAGAAACTAAAGCAGATAACTTAAAAGCAACTGAGGCCAATAGGAAAAGGGGAACAGGAACCAAAGTCAGTTTCAATGAGCTACAGTTGAGATTTTGGCTTGGTTAGATCCTTCTGGAAGCTCTGAGGAGGGAATTCATTTCCTTGCCCTTTTCAGCTGCTAGTGCATGCCTATGCCCTTTGACTTGTGGCCTTTTTATCCATCTTCAAAATGTATCATGTAACCTCTGCTTCAGGAATCACATCACCTGTTTTGTCTTTCATTTCCTGCCTCCGCTGTCTTATAAAGGCTGCTATGACTTGACTGGGCACACTTGGATAATCCTGGATAACCTGTGTCAAAGTTCTTAAGCATGACCACACCTGCAGAGTCCCTTTGCATTATAGTCTAATAATCACAGTTTCTGGGGATAAAGACATGAAAATCTCGGAGTGCCATTGTTCAGTCCACCACAAAGCTTATAATAGTTTTCTTGTCATTAAATATTTTCCTTGTATCTGTCACCATAAAAAAAAATGAGTTCAGCTTTCTACATTAGGTCCTTACCTGCCCAAATTCTTCAACTCTTGTCATATCAGTTATGCCTTTTTTTCTTCTTTTCTTTTGCAAAGCAGGGGGAGTGTTTCCTTTTGTCTCTTTTCTACTGTTCCACATTTTACTTGAATTTTCTCAAAAGGAGAAATGCCAGGGGATAAATTCTTGGAAAATGTTTGCTAGATGAAAAACTGGGCATAAGACCCAGAAGCATACGGGCAGAGTTTTGTTGTCATTAGATCATTTCCTTGACCTGTCTGCAGAAGGCCAGAAGTTAATGTTAGCCCCTGGAACACTTCCCACTGTCATGCTGAAAATCTCTTAGGAAGGTTTTGAAATATTACCAGAGACTAAGGACAAAAATAAGTTGGTATTTTAATGCTAACATCAGCAACAGACATATGGATCATCAACAGAATTTTCTCCACCTGTTAACTGTTTTTTCCATAATTAAAAGTGTTTTTGAAAGAAGAGTGATTTTTAACTTCAAATAAAGCTAACGTAATCAAATATTGCTCAAGCAGTAATTGTGAACAAGATATCAATAAAAATGATAAACTCTAAAATGAAAAAAATTAAAAGGGTCAGATCTCTAGATAAATGTTCTCTAAACAGAAATTTTCTTGGCTAGTGCACTGAGTTCTTAGTACATTATTAAATTCCATACATGTAGTAGCAGTTTTCACATTGCTCGTATTTTTCAAATTTTATAGATACATTCTTTCATAAGAAGTACATTTATATATTTAAAAATTCTACAAGTGACTTACAATGTGAACTTTAGGTACTTCATGGTCATAAGGCTATCCCTGAATTCTCATGGGAAGCAATTTGATATCTGTAAATAACGCACTCTTAACATGTTTAAAGAAAACCAGGAAAATCACTTGATAACATTAAAATTTTGTTTCTATATATTATTTTATAATTTTCTAGTATCCTTATATTATTCATTGTTTTGTTTAATAAATATACACTTGATGCATATATACACTATGTATACTGTGCTAATGTGGCCCAAACCTAGGCAAATGCAGTGCCAAATTGTATTCTAAGGATACAGGTGGAGGT